CGAAGACCAACACATTGCCGAAGGACTCCTTATGGCTGAAGAGCATCGCCTTCCGCATCACACGGGCCTCCACTTGCGGCTCAAACGTCACGTGATAGTCGTATATCACGGCATCCTTGGGGGTCTGGAGTCGGAAATAGTTGGCCACCACTTTGACGGCTTGGCCGCCCTCGCCGTGCACTGCCTTCACGCTGGGAGGGATTGTGCGCAGGGTTTGAGCGCCCCGGTAGCCCGCGCGACCTCTCACCGATCCGCCTGTATATACGATATGGGTAGGGGTCAGAGGTTATTAACCGGGGATTCTTAACCAGTATTAGTACAAACATACCGTTATCGCCATTACCTCCATTACCGCCGTTACCCCCATTGCCACCGTCGCCCCCTTCGCCGGGCGGGGGCTGATCTGCCACTGCTGTCGGCCTAAGAGGTGTGTAGGGAACCGATGGACACCATTAGAGTCAATGAGATAATTAGGGGGCAAACTAATGGAGTGGACAATACCTGCCACGGGCTCGACCTCGCGAACGGCCCGCTCCTACACTCTCGCCTTCAGACATTGCGCGTCAATCAGATCTGTGAGACAAACGATGGACCCACTCGTGGATCAGATACAGTGATGATTTGCAGACAAGTGTTAACACAAATATAGATACAAAACCCCAAACGTGTGTCTAATTAGGGGCTAAACACACAGTATAAGCGATAAAATGTGTTCACAATTTGAGCGCAAATACAAAGTTTTTTATGGCTTTTGGGTTCAGTTTTATGGGGTCTTAGGGTTTGACAACCGGTTTGGAGACCTATTCCTGGAAATAGGTCTTAAGAGGGGGACAGACACTGGGGTCCAACGTTCACCCACTACTGCCAGCCCTCGCACTCTCACAGCTAATATCTATGGAGAGATCACGAGTTCATTGGATATCCTATTGCCTACCCTATGCTAATCATATACTTGCAATCAATTCAATGGTTAAATGCAATCAAAAAAAACTAAAACCCAAACTCACTATACAATCAAATCTAACCGCAAATACCACTCAACGCTAACACCAATGATCACTGAATTACACATACATTGAGTGAATAAAAAGTGATTCAATGCATGCATGCACTCAAACACACCATCAGTACAACTATCACTTTCCAACACATCCCGACACCACTTACCATGACCTCTGCCACACAATCATCACCACACGACTTAACAAACAGAAATGAATGCAAACATACCTTAAGTTTGTCCGTAAATAGCGATTAAATTGAACACTTCATTCAAAAACTCGTTAACAGTTTGTTTGGCAAACAGACGACCGGTAAGTGTGCACTCAATGTAAACACAACACGAATAGCGTGTATAACATGTATAACAGAGATAACAGTGTATTCAGCGCTCAATCGCTCTTATGGTAGGCTATCGTCTGCAGTGGCAGCCAATCAGGGCTCAGCCATACGATACCCACTGACCCCCTCCCCCACTCATCCGACTCACTAACCGCCACCTATTGACCACTTCATACAGTCCACGGCTGACCACTGTTAGTCCAGTCCACACGCACAGGGAGTGACCACTAAAACCAATTCAAACAAAATACGATCCATTCATAGCATACACTCAACACTAATCTATAATAAAAATACTCAACAAAAATGCTTATTCAATGAAAACGCAATGATTAATACATTTATTAATTAGATAATTAAGAGTTGAATAAATTTGTATCAAAAGTTAACTACACTTATAATCATTTTCAGTATTTAACAAACAGTTAAGAATTCACAAAAATTAGTATTAAATGAAACAAAATTATCGAAAATAAATCTTAAACAGTTATTCAATGAACATTATAGTATCAGATAATAAATTAATCAAAATCTATGACTAGTAGTCACTATTATAACACAATTAGACATTTCTTATAATGAATCAAATGATTAGTTAAAGAGAAAAAACAAAAATAAATTGAATTGAAATGTCTTTTGCGGACAAAAACCTGAGCCACAGATTAGATATAGAAGAGTCGGTTGGAGAGGGCGACGTTGGGCTCCCGGTGCAGACTAGTGCCCGTCAGGTAAGCCAATTTGTGCGCGTACTGACACGGCGCCGGC